GGTGACCTCAAATGAGTTTCTGAAAACGAATCCAGATATTATATGTCAAAATTTATTAAGTTATGTAACATCTTAATAATCCCTCGGGAGTCTCAATGTAATTAAATGAAAGTTTCTTTTGCGTGAAGTCAACAAGTTCTAGTTTGAACTTCGATTCTTCATAGATGTAATAAACTTTAGCAACGGATTTGTATGTTTGTTGCTCTGCTCGCCTTATTATGAAGCCAGAGCTTTGATCAAAATATTATAATCAACTATGATAAACCTTCGATGAAATTTTGCAGAATAACGTAAGAGTTCACAAAGGTTAATAACCACTGATCTAAAACAAGAACGGGTTCGCTGATTATCACGTCTAAGGTTAGTTCGGATATCCATAATTTTTACTATCCGGATAACGAATATATACGTATATTTCGTATTTGGCGTACTACTCGGTTAACCGGATAGCTACTGATTATTGTTAGAGAATCGATTTCACGAGATTTATGCGGTGAATCATGTGTTCACACGTTTCGCATTTTGCCCTCGTCATTTCTTGATCAAAGATAGTAATTTTACATAAGATTTTTCAAAGCGCTTGAATTCCATTTTAATGGCTTTTTAATTTGGTTTAAATACATATATGTGACTTAGATAGGATGGCATATCTATACGCAAAAAGGGTACACTTGATACATAGGAACTCGGAAAAACGACCAAAACCAAATTTAAAAACATGCTCGTAACATTCGTTGATGTACGGAGAAATTAATATTGTTACACAGAGGTTTTAGTGCTCAGACTAATTTCTACGCGTGAATATGGTGAAATAAATTTCTTGAAATCAAACTGTTTATTCCGTCATAAGAGGCTTCTTTTAATACACTGCAAAAACTAAAAGCCACACCCGGCCAAAATCAGCAATCCGTGGATCGCTCTTCCCACAGTGTGTAGGCCTAAGTTATATGCACAGGTGATCTGTAGCGGGAACGCACCGCAGCGCCGTACCTTATTTTAAATATTTTTTTGCGCTTGCTTTCCTGTTGTTGATATAAAATTATGTTATTGAAAGTTTAGCTTCTCTTATTGTGGATATTAATAAGAACATTGCAGGTTTTTTTTTTGACTAAGATTTGTATAAAATTGCTATAAATATATATATATATTTAGTTATTATAGTTGTCATTTTACATAGACATTTTTCCAATAATATTCTAAAATTTAATGTATAGCTTTACGGCTTCATCTTAGGCCAGACGAAAATGTCTGTAGAATTTGCGAACAATTTTTTCAGCTCGTCACTATCCCCCACGGGATTTAAACCTGCAAACCCCCGCAGGATAATCGAAGGGTGTATGACGTCGATTATATATACGTATCCAGCCTATATCCAACGCTCAGCACAACGCAGCAACCGCCGTTTTTTTTAGGCATGAATTCTCTGCATTATCTGAACCTTGAAAGTACTCGACCAAATTCGTCGCCATGCTCGTAATGTCAAAGTTAGGCTGTTTTACTGCGGTTGTTATATCAGAAGACCCAAGATTCGGGATTTATTATTTATTGAAAACAGCAACTTTTAATAGCAACAGTAGCAGTAGCATGGACCGATGAAAGCATCCAAGCTTGAGCTTGGCAAATGAAGACGGAAGCGAAATATGTTTTCGCTCGTCATTCGCGGGTGATCGAGTATTACAAAGACAAGATCCTGAAATACTTCTATAAAAATGGCTAGATGATTGAGATTTGCAAACATTTTATGAAATGTACTTTCAATAGCTATGCCAGAATTTATCAATACGGTTTCAAGAAATATATTTAGTTTTCTTGTTATGGAAAAGTATTGCACGGTCATCATTTATTTTATTATTATTTCTTTGCTCGCTTGTTTCATTAACACTATCAAGTTCATCTCGATAAATATTCAAATAACACAAATAATAAATATTCGACTTCGTTATAGACGAATAAATTGGCAACGATATACGCGCAATAATCATAAATTTGTTGTAGGGTATACGAGCAATATTAATTATACCTTCAACAAAGATTTGACGCTTAATTAATGTAGCCTACGCTTACTTCCAATTTGCAACTCGTCCGTAAAACTAAGCTATTCCATTAAGAGTGAGGTGTCATCCACGCAAATATTCAGCTTAAAATTTTGAGGTTTAATATAACCATCATCGACAGATCCACTAAAGCTTCTATCTGTGCAAAACTACACATACTTAAGGTATGATATTTATTTATTGTCCAAATGAAGAAGTTTATTTCCTGCGGTATACCAGTTACTTTTAAATGGGCAATAAAAAGACTTATTATCATGTATTTTGGAGGGCCTTCGTCGAAACCAGGTTAACACCGAGGTAGGTGATTGCGTAATTGATTTTGAAATTGCCAATTTCCTAATCTTTTTAATATATAATACAAAAAAAAAAGATTAAATCATTGCCATGGAAATGCTGTTGTAGTTATTCATCTAATTTTAGTAAATTTAGCTGTTGCTGATCAACTGCCATTTTTCACTTAATATTTCAATAACAAGTGATTTATTATAAATTAATCTTTGATGCATGAATAGACTATGGCTTTGACAGGCAACCACCGTGCATTCATTGTGGAACGTTTTCTTACTAACAGGAAATATGAAAAAAACTAACTGTAAATGTTCCTGCTCATGCTATTCTGTTTACCAGCGATGATGGTCATTTTCATTCATCTGGTTTTGTCAATATGCAAAGCGGAAGCGGAAAAATCGTTCCGGTTATACTTCAGCTCGATATGTGCATATATATATATGCTTCAAAATTTGTTTGATGCCCAAACTCAAGAATCTTAGAGAAAATGCAACGATTTGGTTTCAACAAAATGTAATAACTGCAAATATGGCAATCATTGGTGTTTTGCGAGGATTTTTCCGAACACATTTGATTTGCTGATGGCCTGACCTTGATTATTTTCTGTAGTTATTTCAAGGGTGAGGTGAAAAAGTACCGACCGACAATCATTGATGGACTGAAAGTTGCCATTCGCAAAATGCAAAAGTTTTTAGAAATTAAGTATGTGTTAAATAATGTGATACATAATGTCTACAATTCTTGTCCATTTTTTGAAAAATGAAATGTGGGCGATTTTGTTGACTCGCCCTACAGTAAAAGTGTCAATGATCAAACTAATCCTTTTGTATATTTTAGCCTACAGATCATCAAGTTGAACTTCCGGAGCTTTGTTCATTTGCAGCCATACCCTTTTCCCAGTCCCGTTTCAGAAAGATCACTTTGGGAAACCCTGTTGTAGTGCAGAGCTTCGCAATGGACCGCATGAAATTTAAGTTTTTGACCATTTATACCTTGCTGATTCCTCATCAGAATATTATTGTGGTTTCTTCAAATATCTCTCCGCTACAATTTTAAACATTTATTTTAATCAATTACCTTGAATATTTACTAATCTGAACTTAGAACTTTCTGGTCTATTTGAACGAAGAAATTTACACATATAAGATGGCTGCTTCAACTGCGGCATATCACACTTGCCATGAGTTGAAAATGTTTCCAATTCATATTTCAAATACTTCGCGTAGGCTATGTGGTTGCGTTATCTTTACGTTTCAGTCTTGGGTTTGCTGGTGGTCAGAATATTCTCGATGATGCCGGCCAATGTTATTTTGTGATTACAAAAAGGGTGATTTTTGGCGGTGCCTATAAAATAATTTTTACGGATATCCACGCGGCCTGTCCTGCAAAATCGGCAAACGAAGTAGGCTGGTGAAACTGTTCGCAATGGGCGATGATTTCAAATAGATCTACGGTATATTAACTACAAACGATTTCTGTGTGAGGTTATAAACAAAACGCGAATCGTTTGATTCTGGGTCGACGAATAAAATGACTTGTGCACTGTGCAGCACCCAGCCCACCCTCAGCTTTGTCGAATGGACTTTTTACTCTATAACGAGCTTCGAGTTGTCTGATGATATATTTACGTGTTCATTCTGAAATAATATCATTATTCGGAATATATACATAAGAAGCACTCGCCATGATTGGAGAAGATTTCAGTCTTATTGCTGTGTCGAGAAAAAACTCAAAAGTCCAAGTTCAAGCATCAGGGAAAATCAATAACGGACTTTTTTTCTCGAATTCAGATTGTTTCATTTACAATTATACAGTATTTGAAATACCTATTATTGTAAAATTGTCGTTATGCAGCTGACGATTCTTGCTCAATATTGTGTTTATTTCAGGATTGACCTAACGTAAGAATCTATCCAATTAACGCTATGCGACGGAGATTCAATTTTTAACAATATTTATAGCAAGGCCATACTATTTCGAACGGAATTAAAGGTCCGAAAGTAAGTGGTATGAACATTTTAAAGAGAATTTGCTCAGAACAAGGTTACGTGTATCCACTCAAATGTATCATCTCTCTGCACAGAAATGAAGAAAATTTTCAATGTCCATACAATAACAGGAAATGAATAGGAAGATATTATGCTTATCTACTATAAATGTTAATCAAGTATTGGAAGCTTCACACTGAGTTCCTGAAAATGTATCACCGATTTGGTGATTTCGTCAGTGGCCTTAGGTGGTCGAGCTCATAGCAATATTGCTGGTTCACACGTAATGTGCTTTTGCAAAAGACACCAACCCAATTTGACTTCAAGGTATTTTGACCCATTGAGGGGAGCAACAACCTTTTTACAAGAACAGCCTTACGCGGGGAGGAATTTATCTTATTGAAACAGACTTTTGTCCGGAATTTGGTAAGAATATATGTTTGCGGAAATAAAGCGGATGACATTGTGCAATTACAAACTTTTGAGACGACTAAATTCATGAAAACACGCGGCCGCGTTTCGATTTTACGATTGTTAGAATTATTGCGGTAAAGAGTGTAAATTGACTCCGCGCATTTTTACTAAACAAATACATATGATCTTGATTTTTTTTCAGATATCGATGCACTCAATGCATACGAAATCCTATCAACCAATAACTACAACGACACGCAAAGTGATGATAAACTGAAAGAGCTTCTGCTGAATTAAACTACAAATTATTTTATCGCGGTAAATATTTGCTAAGCAACGAGCTCTAAATGCGAGAATCTCGTATTGAAAATTTTGAGCTAACAAAATGGACAAATACAAAATAAAGCGACCAAGGAATTCGAACATTTAGCAGCCGGAGTTAGTGAGTAAAGCACGCTAAGTGACCCACACAATAAACTTTACTATGAAATACTACTCAAAACGTGTATGCATGTCCAAAGCACAATCGCAATATAAGTAAGATAATCACCCAATGAGGATTTGCCATATTTTCTCATATTATTCAAAATAGTACAGTATTCACAGGAATTGACAAAACTCCACTTCAAAAATGCATTCGCCATACACCATTCGGTTACAATATTATCGAGTGATGATGAAACTAGAAATATACAAATCAGAAACAAAAAGATGAGAAATAAGTAACAGCAAAACAATTTTATACATCCATCCAATTAATATTATGATTACTTCGCTGGCTCATGTTTTTTTCCATATCTTTTCTTATATTCTGTCTCGGTGCTAAGTGTCACAAATGTTTATTATACATATATGTACAATTACAACAAAGTCAGTCCATAATATTCTTCTTGATCAGATTATGGTATGAATAACAAGCAAGAAGTATATAAACAATTTCAAAATGTGGTTAATCGAATAACAACAACATCGATGAACTAAGTATTCTTGCAATATATTAGAACATTGTAGGGTAGACAATTGGTACAGAATACAACTTAGAATTCATGAATAAAATTCAGTACCACATATTTTTGTTATTACATTACTGCTGTAAACTTTTCATTTGACTGCTTTTAAATTCCATTTTTGTGAATGTAAACATGCTAACGGATCTCTGACAGACTTGATGTTATTTGGTGTCTTCTTTAACAGCCACACAACTCATTAACCCATTTTGTGCAGGTCCATCCACCTCCAGGCAACTAGATAATTGCACTCATCTCAGTTGACATGACATAGTAACGCTAGACCCAAATGGAGATTATATTTTTCATACTAAGAGTCTATTGAACTCTGCCATCATCTGTGACTTCTTAATAGCTTCCCAAGTTTTTGCTGCATAATAGAACCAGCTCTTTTCTGTGAGGGCTTGTCTCGTCAACCGAAGTCTTCGTATTGACAATATCATGTTTCTGAAAACCTTCAAAATTTGCTTATTCTTTGGAAGTGCTGTATACTTTGGTAATTGATAGAATTGTGAATCTTCCATGTTATCTCTCTCGTGATCATTATCATTCAAATTAAACAATGGGATTAGAAAGATATTTATCTCTGATGAAGGAGATGTACAAAGTGATATATTCGGGAGTAAGACAGACTTTGATAAAGATATAGAATCTTTGTACAATAGCTTCGAATGTGCCAACATATTGGAAATCATTTCACTCATTGATATTATGCAAGATGGGTCGAAATGAGCAGGTTCAGATTTGTTCTGAACAAAAATCACATGTGGATGAAACTCATCAAACTCACTCTCCATGCTTGAAGATTCAGAATTTGGAGTGGGTGACGTCAATTTCAGCATTTCTGCACATTGCAAAAAACTATACAAACTACAGTCTGAAAACCAATCTTGCATGATGATAACAACATGGCATATGCTGAGAAACAATGTTGCAAGTTGTAAAGATTGCATTTCTATTCCAGCAGCTGGACCATTATATTCAGCAGACATTTTCCGATCGTTATAAATACACTGTTCCAGCAAGGAAGGGCTTAGTAATGGTTGAGAATCTAGAAATATTGTGCGCTCTTCTGTAACATACATGTCCACACCTACTGTCATATTACTTGCTTTTTCCATAACATCCTTAGTCTGACAAGGGAAAATGAGCTTTTTTGATGTTATGTCACTTCCTGCCAAATAAGACATTATAGTAGATTTTCCAACTCCCTGAGGGCCGAGAACGCCAACAACAAGAAAATGTGTTTGATCCTCCAGCAACTCAATTCCACAGTCTGTCCAATGTAGCAACCCATCCAATATCTTCACAGATTTTATATTTCCTTTAGTGTCATCAGGAGATTTTGACGCTGAACTATCCAGTCCTGGAGAAATATGTCCAGCATTGCCCTTCGTACTTTTACTTGAAAGATTAGCTTTATGTAGATCAAGTTTCCCTGAAAATGGTTTGGTCTCCCGTGGCTGACCATAATACTTCTCAGTGGGAGATGAGTTTTCAACAAGCACTGAAGAGAGAAAAGAGTTCTTGGACTTCAAGTTCATTTTAGATAATTCAGAACTTGGACTTGAAGCTGTATTCACCAATTTTTGCTTTGATGCATCGTTAGAATCTGGTTTGGCAAGAATAATCGGTTGTTTCAGCACAGTATGGGGAGTAGAAACAGGTTTTTCTCTGCTTTCATATTGGGAATAGTCACGAGTGTTACGACGATAGTCATTTCGACCATTGTATGAATCCCTCGGAAATTCTTTTTCACGATATATCGGTCTCTCTCTAGGTGGTCTTCTTTTTCTTCGTATCCCACCACCATACATACCAGGATCAGCCATTAATTCAGCAAAAGCTAACGCACCAGTATATAGTAGGTAAAAACTTTTAAGTAAATGAAAAGAGTTCAAGAGTAATTATAAAAAATAGATCATAAAAGTATGAATTCAGCCATGCTTTGCCAAATGTAGGCATTTTTATTACAGACCAATTCACCTATTTATGATCATTGATAATATCCAGTTTGATTATCCTTATAACAATATAAGCAAAAAACCTTCAACCTAACAAGTATCTCATCTGATATCAGTTTGAATGATTTGCTGGTAATTATTTATAACAAAACTTCCACCAAGTAGCAGATGTCTCCAATTAAGCTCTCTGATGTGTAAGACACTCAATAGTTGAGCTGCACATTGTCATTGGACCATTTGATTTCAAGAATGTTTAAACAGAATTACAATTTGGATTACGTAATTGAAAATGCTGGGTTTGGAATGCAGGAATGTGAAGATATTTAAACCTTTTTAGAAGATAGAAGCGCGGCGGTGTGGCTCAACGGGCTAAGCGTTAGGAATACGCTCGCCACCACACCTCTAATTACTCTGCATGGGTTCGCAGGTTCGAATCCCATGCAGGGATGGTTATGTGCGAGAGGATTGCTGGACTCCTCGCCGTCGTTGGGTGGTTCACGTAACCGCTGGTCGGTTACGGCTTCCTCCACCACCAAGTCCATGCTTCCGAAAACAAACAATATAACTAATCCCATACCCGACTTGGAATGGTAACCGGACGAGAGGCCGTGGTTCGCCATATGGATAAGCCGTATTATCGGCTTTCCTCTCCCCCGGGATAAATATGTAAATCCTATCCTAAGATGTGAAACTTGACGAAATCATATTTCAGTACCAGTATTTGGAGAATCTGACCATAGATAGTGAAATGAACAACTTGTTTTAAATTGCATGAGGAGACTTGACAGAATTTTCTAGTTCCATGCCTACCGTATGTATTCACTACGACCTGCTCATGGTACCGGTACAAAATTGCTGAATTGTAAATAAAATTGTGTTTTGTGCTAGTCTATGGTACGGTAAACCCGGTACCGTACCTTCTGACCTTTCAGCCTTTGTTTCCTGTTACTACAGTACCGGTACGGCACATTATACAAATCGGGTGACATTGTCCCGTTTCAAAGAAACCCGTTTTACGGATGATCAGACACCCCTCCTTTGGGAGACGTCTGGACATTGTTGTCCCTCAATATCAGTAATAATACAGTATAATGAAGTTGCGCAAAATACCACAAAAAAGCGCAATCCAGTAACGTCATCATTGTTTTCCTTGGGAAAAAATAATCCGATTTAACGAAGGAAAAAAAATTTTACTGTAGCATTCGAGAATTTTTAGCCAAAAACATTCAGCCAAAAATTTTGGTCATGTGACGGCCGCGATTAATTTAGATTATTATTGAGACAAGAATTTCGCTCAGAATAATACGGTCAGAAGGTGTTCAGTTTTGAATCCTGTACCGGACCGGGTACGTACGTTACCATCAATTAGTACCGGTATCAGACCATACTGCCATAAAGGCATAAGGGATATATCACAGAATTATGTGCGAGAGGATTGCTCGAGTTCTCTCTGCCGTAGAGCAGTAGACTACGAGCCGCATGGAAAGAATTTGCAACATATCTTGAACTAATACCGGTATTGTACTGTCAGACTGTAACGGTACCGTAAGGTAACCATTATCCCGTTATCTGATTATACAGTAAAGAAGAATTGATGCACTACTCTTTGCCATCACACACTAGGATAGGATAGGATTTACATAGGCTATTTATCCCGGGGGAGAGGAAAGTCGATAAGACGGCTTATCCATATGGCGAACCACGGCCTCTCGTCCGGTTACCATTCCAAGTTGGGTATGGGATTAGTTTTTACTTATCGATCTTAAGATCGGTAAGTATATTGATAGGTATTTGTATGTATGTATGTCTGTGTGTGTGTCTGTTAGATGCACGCGATATCTCACGAAAGCGAGATTGAATCTGCTCCAGATTTTGCATGTGCATTCATCTTATCTCGGACCAGAAGCCTATTGATTTTGGGCGAATTATGTCGTATAATTAGCGAGTTATCAATCAATTGTTGCTATAGTGATCTAGATTTTTGTAAAGCGAGAGAATTTTGAAACCCGCCGAGTGTGTGTGTGCGATGCGCAGTGCGCAAGTTACAAGAGCGGATGAATCGAAACTGCAGTTTCTGTTTTGGGGGATCCCTAACTTTCGATTGATAAGTCTTCGGTTTCCAACCGATATTCTCGTTTACTGTATTGTTTGTTTTCGGAAGCATGGACTTGGTGGTGGAGGAAGCCGCAACCGACCAGCGGTTACGTGAAACACCCAACGACGGCGAGGAGTCCAGCAATTCTCGCGCACATAACCATCCCTGCATGGGATTCGAACCTGCGAACCCACGCAGAGTAATTAGAGGTGCGGTGGCGAGCGTATTCCTAACGCTTAGCCCGTTGAGCCGCGCCGCACTACACTACACTACTACGCGCCTACTGCACTACATTGCCATCACAGACATAGGGTGTTTTGTTGGGTTCCTTTAATTAGGATAGGATAGGATTTACATATTTATCCCGGGGGAGAGGAAAGCCGATAAGACGGCTTATCCATATGGCGAACCACGGCCTCTCGTCCGGTTACCATTCCAAGTCGGGTATGGGATTAGTTTTACTGTATTGTTTGTTTTCGGAAGCATGGACTTGGTGGTAGAGGAAGCCGTGACCGACCAGCGGTTACGTGAACCACCCAACGACGGCGAGGAGTCCAGCAATCCTCTCGCACATAACCATCCCTGCATGGGATTCGAACCTGCGAACCCACGCAGAGTAATTAGAGGTGCGGTGGCGAGCGTATTCCTAACGCTTAGCCCGTTGAGCCACACCGCCGCGCCAATTATCGGAACAGACCCTAAATTCAGAAATTACCGGAACGGGGAAGAATTTTCACCTAAACCTACCGGTACCGGACCTATAGATATCTTTCAAAGGACATTTTATATATCAGATACCAGTACCTCTAAGCATTGTCAAGTCATCAATGCTCTTAAGTCTAACCTAAGCAAGTACCGGTACGGTAATATATTTTTTTTTTTTTCACGGTAATACAATAGCGAACCTTGGAGGGGGCTGTCAGTGACCGGAACAACGCTATCTAGTAGCCTAGTTCGCCTTCATGTTGTCAGCTTATATTTTTTTTTCGCAGATAAGGTAACGTAGTCACAGATCTGGATTACAACAAATGAAAATTTATTTGTATAATCTTTCTTGCGATCTTGATCAGGTAACTATGCGGTAAAATATATTATATTGGAATTGAATATTATTTTGTGATAGTAGATATTGGCATAAGTGGGAATGTTATTAGATTATTTCAGATATGAAAAGCATTTGAAATATAGAGACGTTGAATATATTTTAGCCACTGTTCCCCTCGTGTTCGTTGATTTAACTGACAATGACATAGGAGTGTATAAAATGCCTTTCTCAAAACAGCTATAGGTCCGTTCCGGTAGGTCTAGTTGAAAATTCTTCCCCGTTCCGGTAATTTAGGGTCTGTTCCGGTAACAGTGGTACGGTACCGTACATCTTTCAAGTCCTGACAATTAATTGGCGTAATACCTGCACCAATAACTGAATACCCGAGTGGACTCCGTACCGTACCGGAATCATCGGAATACTCCGTCTTGAAAAATTAAAATAGATGAGTTTATTTCGAGCGAATATTTTACAGAACATGAAGTCGACTCTTCCATCGTTTTCGCACAGTTTGCTGAAATTTTCATTGTTTCACATTTTACTGAAGATAAGTAGGCTCAAGAATTGTTTCGACCCACACAGTTTGCTGAAGTTTTCGTTGTTTGGCATTTTTGTGGACATAAAACGGACTCAAGGATTGTTTCATTGAGCTGGCGAATGGATTGTTTCAATCCGTGCAGTTTGTGATTTTTCCATATATTTGCATTTTAAAGTTATTGCCTGATTTTGTATCGTGTGTGTTTATTTTATTGCGTTATTTGACTGTTTTTGGTGGACGGGCGTGTAGGCTACTTGTACGTTTTTTAAACTTCGTTTTTCTCTGCATTTTGTTTGTCTGTTAGATGTTGTTTTGTTTTATTTCAGAGTGACCAAAATAAAAATGATTGGCTCAGCATAACCTTAGCGCTAACGCATCTACATCTGTCCACAAGGCACTCCGACCCCAACCCATACCGGTCCGAGGTAAGGTGACACAAAAACGGACAAGACCCTATGAGCACTTTTACAATCTAAAAACCGCAAATGCTACGAATAAAAAATAGCACTCAACAGCAAACTAGACAATATTACGCATCTGAGCAGCATGCCTGACTTCATGAACACTTTTCACGTCAATATGTCACAAACATCCACGATTGTATTCAATTGTAGTAGTATATATTTACGATTAAACCAACCCCGTGTAACTCGGGAAATTTGGTCCCGGTGTTGAATTCGCGTCACGCTTGACTTGGTGCTGACAGTTTATTGTTGCTTGAAAATCATCGTGCGACTTTCTGTGTTCTGACGGCGCTGTTTCGCGTCAAGATTAACTGAGTGACTTATAAATATTCAAGTTAGTTGTGCACATGGAATATTACACGATATACTTCACTATAGAACTGATAGAATGCAGTTTACAAAACAAAATAGAAGAACAATCAATTGAGTGGGAAGGCCCTAGGACCGGTTCAGCACTCGAAAGCACATTGACAGTAAGATTTTAAATTCACTTTAGCTCCCATGAGTAGATGTAGTCTAGTAGAGAGCCACTTTGTGCTACGATTGTTCGGCATAAAAAAGAGTTGTAAATGTTCTTATAGGTACCCAATACAGTAATGATTTGTCAAGGAATGTAAATTTTGATACGAGATATGTGTATTTTAGGATCATAAAAAAGTTGCAGTGTGAGGATTTATGCTGTGTGATCAAAGCAGTAAGCAAGAATATAAATTGACTGATGGGTGATTGAAATTGTGACGTCTGTATGAAAAACATAAATTAAACACACATATATATTTTAACTTCAATTAATTAGTGTTTTATGATGGAGTTCTACTGATCTTGATAATTTTTTCCCAGACTCATTCTGTCATCGTATGTGAAGTCACCAGCTGCATA